CGGCCTAACATTGATAGGTGCATTATTAAAATCATTATGAATAATTTTGAAATAAAGCCCAATCTTAATTGAGCGAACAAGATGCTCCTGTTTGGACTAGGACTTTTAGTACAGAACGTAGATTATACATAGTAGGAATGGTTTTCATTTACTTGTAACCGTCTCCATCATGCTGGGTCATGATAAGAAAGAAAATGCAGTATATACATCTCCAGAAATAGAACTTTTAATTACACTTCAAACACTCATTAATAATTCATAAGCTTATTGGCAAATCATGCCAATCATAATACCGTAATATGTCACGTGCAGTGGCTATAAACCTGATAAAACACTCGTAATTAGTATTCTTCATATAAAGAATACCAATAAGGCAGTATATATTGTAGTCGTGTCCTTAATAGTATTCTTTATATAAAGAATATACTAAAAAGGCAGTATATCTATTGAATTTGTAGTCGTGTTTGAAGCCGTTTAATAAACTCGCAGGTCGTGTTTTATTCGGTCTAAAGCCACTCGCGCTGCGCGCGTTGTCTAATTGTTTAGTATACACTCCTATTTGGTACCACACAAACTCCAAGCTCAATTTGAAAGATTTAGTTGAAATTTAAACCCACGCACGACTGCATGTTTGTATGATTTCTTTCAACCTTCGCATTCTTTGCTTGTGGCTTTTTTGTTTGCTTTTCGCAAACAATCCAGGAAAAAATATTTTTAAAATACACAGCTTGTGAGCTTTAAAAATATTTGAATAACGACAAGCAGCTCAAAAAAAACTACAATCTGCTGAAATTTCAACGTTTTGCTTGTAATGTGTCCAAAAAAATATGCTCTGAAATTCCGTTTGTCTCCGTGTCACATTTTATGGCAAGTATAACAGCAGATGTATTATTAAAATACGGTTTAAAGTTTGCTCTCTACCACTAAACGTCTTCAGTTATATTTTGTAGTCTTTTTTGTTCTTCGGAACACCAGAAAATTACCCGAAAACTTTGCAAAACAAAATATTCCGCCATCAATTTATTTCTTTTCTCTGGTCCGTTACGTAATTATCACTTATTTACTGAGACCGAGGGCGAAGCCGAGGGGAACAACGGCGGTCGAGGGGCCACAAAACACACTGCTTTCCCGAGGTCTCAGTAAATAAGTTTTTTGTTATATAGTATATAAATAAGAATAAAGTATGAATAATTTACCGGTTATTGGAGTGAACTTAATTTGAAACCAAAACTGGATAAATGGAACGCGGTAAATGTTTTATAAAATTAGTAAAAAGTTTAAAAAATGAACTTTGGAACTTCATGGTTGACACGCATGCGTATTGCACCCCTTTTATTATTGGCCGGCCAATAAATGTTTCATTGCGGATCGGTTGCTGAGAATGACGTTTTGTGGACCGGCACGTGAGACGGCTTTAACCAATCGGCAAACAGAAAAATTGAACTTTGACACTAACTACATAACAATGAACCTTGGTCCTTGGTTGAGTGTATACCAATATGGATTAGCCAAGCTATTAGTTATGTTGCAAGCGATCATCCAGGTATCAACCGCAAACGTAAACATTGAATCGCAGCATGCATAATGCACGTACGAAAGTATAGCCGCATACAGACGATCTGAGATTTTAATGCATAGATTCTATTAAAACCATCTTTAGTTCACCGCTTATGCTCAACTTCTATAATATTTTAGTACAGAAACGATGTCCTCAAGGCTGTTCAGCAAATGCAACGTGCTTCCCGGAGGATGTATTTGATGGAACTGCAAAGTGCAAATGCAAGGATGGTTACACTGGCAATGGAATTTTATGCACAGGTAAATCATATGGGATCCATGATGGTTGTGATGTTACTCTGAGTGTATATCCACACCGGGCAGGCTTGCAAAATATGCCTGGCCATGGTGGGAATCGACCCTACGACCTTTGGAATACCAGCCCAATGCTCTTCCAACTGACCTACGCGGTCAGGTCGGTTCGAGTATGTGATATTTCGGAACAGAATCTAGTTCCTTTGATATCAATGAAATCTAGTAATCATGATTTTTTCTGTGTTGGTGTAATGTACTCAAGTGAATATGATGCTTGTGATGTTACTCTGAGTGTATATCTACACCGGGCAGGCTTGAAAATTATGCCTGGCCACGATGGGAATCGAACCTACGACCTTTGGAATACCAGACCTGACCGCGTAGCTCAGTTGGCAGAGCATTGGGCTGAAGATATCATGAGTCATATCTCCACACTTTGATGCATCGGTCAAATCTCCACACTTTGATGGTCTTCGGTCATATCTTCATTCCCTGAATCTCACGGAGCTAATATCAAAAGACGGTGATATTAATTAACCAAGATTGGCGCGACTGAAAAATGCGTTACTTGCCGCGGTATCGGATTTTGTTCCCACGAAGAAACTTCAAACTCGAAACCATCTCCCATATATAAACAGTGAGATTCTTCATAACATCAAGAAGAAAAACTCGATAAGAATGAGAATAAAAAGATCATGTTCACTCAGTCAACACGTTAAAGAAAGTTTTCGAAGTATTACGTAGAAAGATCAAGCAAATGTTACGTGAAAGTCAACTAAAGTACATCAACGCAATTTCAGTTGTTCGTCTCGTGGACAAAATCCCAGACGTTTTTGGACATTTTTAAAACAAAAACTAAAGTATTGAATATTCCAGAAAAAGTTTCCGTGAAAGTGAGCAACACTGAAAGAACTTCTGCCAATAACGCCGAAGAAATTGCAAATATATTCAACACGTATTTCGCCTCTATCTTTACGCATGCATGACTCCGATATTGATCACCAACGACAACAAGAACATACGGAAACTGACATAATATTGGAAGAAATAACATTAACAAACACTCAAGTGATGGCGGTGTTGAGAAATTCGGATAACAACAAAGCTCACGGCGTCGATGGTGTTCCTGCGCGACTACTGACAGAAAATGTGTTCCAGATCACTCCTTCACTTCGCGCACTCTTCAACAAATCATTACGCTGTAGCATTCTTCCTGATGATTGGAAATTGGCTAATGTCGTACCTGTGCATAAGCGAGGTGAGAAATCCTACGTAGAAAATTATCGACCAATCTCATTGCTTTAACTTATCTCTAAAGTACTCAAACATCAAGTATTCCAACAAAACAACCCTTGTCAACTTAATGAAGTATTTGGATAGATAGGGCGCAAATTGGGCAATGGTGAACAAATATAGACGTGATTTATTTAGATACGTCGAAGGCATTCGATAAAGTAAGTCAAACTAATCTTCTTCATCGACTACGCGAATTTGGGTTTCGAGGAAACATCCTGAACTGGTTCTCATCGTATTTCAGTAATCGTCGTCAGCAAACAACGGTTCATGGAGTAACATCAAGACCGTTAGCCGTAACATCCGGAGTGCCACAAGTTCGATACTTGGCCTATTGTTGTTCCTATTGTACGAAAACCACCTCCCTAACACCGTGAACAATTCAACTTGGTCAATCGCACGGAAATAGTACAAAGGCAAGCAACTACATACATTTTGGATCTTCCTTTCTTCTGCGATGTCAGTTACAACCGGAGACTTGATATGCTAAAGTTTGATTCCTGTATGTTACTGGCACTAATTTCTTGATATGATTTTCTTCTTCAAATGCACTCATGAGATGATAGTCATTAACAACGACCTACTACCAACAATCCGGAGTAGAGAAAGAGCTACGAGATCTGCTGATCCGAACTGTTTCATGTTAATAACAAAAAAATGCAAGACTACAACATACCAGAAGTCATTCCGGACGAGATCAACGAGACTGGAACATTTTACCAAAAGACTTGACAGATAAAACCACTACATTTAGCGGATTTAAAAGCGGACTTCTCAAACACTATAAATCTTCCATACAAAATGTTTACAACGCAAAGGATCCGCGAACTTGGAAATCTATATGTTTGTCTTGTAATACGTCTCGTAACCTGTCTTGTCCCATATCGTGCTGTTGTTTTTGGGGAAGAAGCAGAATTCTCTGTGAGCGCTAGCTGTGTTTAAAACCAGCTTGAATATTTAAAAAACGATTAAAATATAAATGTTCTGCATGGTATGAATTTAGTAAGCTTGAATATACAGAAATTTGTGTATAAGGAGAAATTGGTGAGGTGTTAACCCCGGATATTTTAAAGTTTGTTTGTCTTGGGTCGCTGTAGCGTATATCCAGCCTTGTCAATGTACGTTTCGTTTGTGTTAATGTGTATTAGTCCAGTCAATCTGTGACCAGAGGTCAAAGAAATTGCAATAGAATTTTTTTTACTGGTAAAATGTGCGGGAAGGTGTCCTTATTAACATACTAAAAATCCAAAAAAGTCCCTTCGGTGGAATATGGTGAAAATTGAGTTTTTCTTACTTCTACCTATAGAAAACCACTGTGGACAGAATGTTCAAATTTTGAAATCATTTTTAGGCAAATGTAACCTACATTATTGGAAAGCATAAACAGAACTATATAGAGGTCAATGAGACCGTTATATTCAATTTACTAGCCAGTTTATCGTTATTCTAGCTCAAAGATGGAAAAATAGCGCAAAATTTGCACAAAATACAAATTTATGACATTTTAAATCTTGCATAACTTCGGCTGGATAGGCAAAAGCAAAGTAACCGTTTAATTGATTTATATTTAGTTTTTTCTAAGCTTTCCAATAATGCAGGTTATATTTGCAAAAACATAATTTCAAAATTTCAACATTTTGTCCGCAATGGTTTTCTATAAGTAGAAGTATAAGAAAAACTCGAATTTTACCATGTTGCACCGAAGGGATTTTTTTTTATTTTTAATATGTTAATCAGAACACCTTTTCTCACATTTTACCACTGAAAAAAATCTATTACGATTACTTTGATCAAGACCATGTACTTATAGTGATCTGATTGGACTATATATAGCAAGTGATTTTAAGTTGATTTGGCAAAGCCTGATAAATAAATAAATAAAAGTGTATATTTTTAAAAATTAAAAAACATTGCTTCGTGGCTAATTTTTTGGTCTAGGCATGTTCGTAGGCCTATCATATGCAGAATTGCTGTGCAGACTCGCAATTGGTTTGGCATTCGCAGGATTATATTGAACGCTTTTTGCATTCGAAACCTTTCAGAAATACCATTTATTTTTTAAAAAAAGCATGGTCAATTATTGTTTTGTTTTTATCGTGTGGTTGCGTGGGGAGTGTTCACGTACTGGTCCCGCGATCATCCGGCATGTTGCTGCAGGGAGCATCCTTAAATTTTGCTCCCGACCACTAAACGTCTTCAGTTCACATTTTGAAGACTTTACAACCAAATTCCCCCTAAACCTTTTCAAAACAAAATTTTCCACCATCATTTTAGTTATAGTACCGAAACCATGTCCTCAAGGCTGTACGGCAAATGCAACGTGCTTCCCGGAGGATGTTTTTGATGGCACTGCTCGGTGCAAATGCAAGGATGGTTACACTGGCGATGGACTTTCTTGCACAGGTAAATAATATAGGATACTGCATGTATAGCCAAGTTTTTTGCATGTTATGGACTGGTAAAAACTACGTAGAAAAACCATAGGCAAGCATTGCTTCTCATACGAAACAAATTTGTATAGTGAAGCAGAATAAAATCTTATCAGTAAAGTAAACCAGGTTCCTTTTTTTATATATATATATAATTTGGTGTAGATGCGTATCAAGCCTCTACTCTAGCCCCATGCATAACCATGTTTGCTTGTAATGTACACAAAAAAAATAATGTGCTCGGCAATTCCGCCTGTCTTCGTGTCACATTTTATGGCAAGCCGTAACAGCAGATTTACTAATAAAATACGGTTTAAATTTCGCTCCCTAACACTAATTACGCCTTCAGTCATATTTTGTAGTATTTTTGTTCTTCGAGGAAAGACTTTCCAACCAAATTCCACCTAAACCTTTTCAAAACAAAATTTTCCACCATCATTTTAGTTATAGTACCGAAACCATGTCCTCAAGGCTGTACGGCAAATGCAACGTGCTTCCCGGAGGATGTTTTTGATGGAACTGCTCGGTGCAAATGCAAGGATGGTTACACTGGCGATGGACTTTCTTGCACAGGTAAATAATATAGGATATTGCATGTATAGCCAAGTTTTTTGCATGTTATGGACAGGTAAGGACTACGTAGAAAATACACAGGAAAGCATTGCTTGTCATACGAAACAAATTTGTATAGTGAAGCAGAATAAAATCTTATCAGTAAAGTAAACCAGGTTCTTTTTTTATTATGTAATTTGGTGTAGATGCGTATCAAGTCTCTATTCTGAGCCCATACATAACCATGTTTGCTTGTAATGTACACAATATACGTGTAATGTACACGATATTAATGTGCTCGGCAATTCCGTCTGCCATCGCGTCACATTTTATGGCAAGTAACAGCAGATTTACTAATAAAATACGGTTTAAATTTCGCTCCCTAACACTAAACGCCTTCAGTCATATTTTGTAGTATTTTTGTTCTTCGGGGAAAGACTTTCCAACAAAATTCCCCCGAAACCTTTTCAAAACAAAGTTTTTCACCATCGTTTTAGTTCTAGAACAGAAACCATGTGCTCAAGGATGTTCAGCAAATGCAACGTGCTTCCCAGAGGATGTATTTGATGGAAGTGCAATGTGCAAATGCAAAGATGATTACACTGGCAATGGAACTTTATGCACAGGTAAATGATAGAGGATTCATATTTAGCCAAGATTTAATTGTGTTATAGGGTAAGGGTACATATACGTATACATATACTAGAAAATACATACATGCAGAAACCCTCGTCTTGCCGACAAAACCATTATATTTTCCTAAAGTAGTTGTCGTGGTAATACAATTATACTAGAAATACATGCATGCAGTAACCCCTCGCCAATATTGCCATACATTAAACATGAAGTATTCAGAAATGATCAGCACTGAACGCAGGCTCGCGCTCGTTGCTTATTCTGTGGCCATGACAACACGATATTCTTAAATTTTTATTTTCATATATTTTGTACAAAACTGCAAAATACTTGAAAGATTCGTACTTTTAACTATACAACAATACATTTCCGAAATACATACTGTAGGTATATTATTTTGCATTTTGTGAGCTTTGATTTAATGTAAAATTTAATTTGAAACGCTTCGTAAAATGTT